GTTATCAAGAGTGAAAGATTAAAGGACAATTTCTAAACTATGTTGCATTAGGAATAATATAACCATTATAAGATTGGTATAAACAATCTTTTTTTAACAAAATTGCTGGAATTGAAATCAAACTTCAGCAATATATTTATATATTTTTTTTTTAAATAAAGCAGATGTTTCTGGTAGTATTTTTTATAACGTCGAATGGATTGAGACATGTATTATATATAAGAGGCAGTTAATAGAATTATCAATGCGCCTAGATGTGAAAATTACCGCCAAAAATATCATGGTCTAAAAAAGGGATGAGTTCTTTAAACGGTAGACTTAGAAAGAGCACGTTCAGATTTCATAATATATTATTTTCTAAACATGTAAAAAATTATTAAGAGAGGATACGTTCAAGATATGCGCTCATAGATGGGGTTTTGATATGACGAATTTATTTTGGAATTCTATCCCGTTGACCCCATCTTAGAAGTGAAACTGATTGAGTTTCTTACTTCACTCAACAAATTGAAACATGTGTAGGTACTTGCAAGTCTTCGAACAGACCTTTTCCAAATTTCTACTGCTGAATATTGTGCGGCTTACTTAAAACATTCAAAGTTGACCAGAAAAGATGACATTTGAAGTCTCGGGGTCAGTATGAAAAATTGAGCTTGGTTGATTTATAAACAAATATGTACACGTTTACCGCAAACATGGCGGCAAACGGATGCAACTCTTGCTTAAATTGAAGAAATCGAAATCTATTCAGTGTTGAAAATATTTTATTTTCAAGTTCGTTGTCAAGCAATAAACTGCAGTGAGAGAAACTATATGTCTTTAGAGGATTAACAATCACATGACGTTGTACTTTAACGACAATATTATTCACCGTTTTATCAGATAATACAAGCACAAAACGCTTTCGGAGTGCATATTACCTGTTTTCAGTCTTGACTCTTTGCTTAAGTGGAGCGATTTTTGGTTAATGTTACTTTTGACAACCTTATTTATATAGTTTTCTCTTTTCTATCATCTATTTGAAAATGTGTACATGTTGTAATTAGAAGACAGTGAGTTGTTGATGATTTTGAGACTTTCTAACATTTAAATTTAGTACATTTAAAAGAACATTTCGATCCTTTTAGAGACAATTTACACTGTGAACTCTTTTGTGTAAATATTGAATATGGGCACATTCATCATACATAAATGCTGTTAAAAGTTATACTTTAAAACCTTATGAAAGTGATTCCGGAAACGTGCTGTGTGCACGAATATCGGTATCGTACGTTTGCAAACGTCTTAGTTTTTAAGTCTCATGAACTAGAATTGATGTTTATTTGATTTCGATAATGGAAGTGATCGGAGTGCAATTTAAAACTATAAAAGATATGCTAGGATATTTCTTAATGATTTAAGAAATCATATTTTAGAATATAATTTGATTGGAAAATTATACAAATTCCTATTTGATAGTAAATGTAAAGGAAATGTGGTATAATTGCCAATGACACAACTCTCCACGTGATCAAACGACGTCAAAGTAAGCAACTATATGTCAATGTACCACCTTCAACAATGGACAAAACCCATACCGCATAGTAAGCTACAAAAGACCCCGAAATGACAAATGTAAAACAATCCAAACGAGAAAGCTAACGGTAGGATTAATGTACAAAAAAACTAACGAAAAACAAATATGATATACAGCAACAAACGACAACTACTGAATTACAAGCTCCTGACTTTGGACAGGTACATACAAAATGTGGCGAGCTTGAGCATATTATGTTGGTTTTTATAATTCATACAAGTAATTAGATATACCTTTTCTAGTTTATTTATTCATTTCAAATGTGTTTGAAAGTCTTGTTTTGCCATTGTATATGAGTAAATCGTTCATTTGTGTGTTATTCTTGTTTATTCGTATCACGTGTTACTTGATACTCAACAATTATTTAGGTTTATATGGATGTTCTTTGATCAATATGATGAAAATTATATTTGCCTACAGAGCACACACATCAAGCTATGTAAATTATAGGAAGATTTTCACAGACAACCAAACATTGAGCACAAAATCTTGGCATTATCTCATCTGCTAAACGATGGATGTTTGTGGTAGAAACAGGTATACAGTTGTCTCATTGGCACTCATACCACATCTTCTTATATCTATATATCATGAATATAGTACTATTAACGTCCAAAGAAGGACACAAAGAGTTTTTTTGATAGGGACAATATAACCATGGTTCTCCATAAGAGGGACAATATATCCATGGTTCTCCATAAGAGAGACATTTGTTTTTGCAATGGCAATTAAATTGGCTGCAAATGTGATGACGTTTACACTTTCCCACTGAAAACTTTGGTTCAGATGCTTTCGAGTCAGCACTAAATCTACCCCCACCCATGATAGGAAACCAGGAATCAAGATGATAATGCGAACTGACATAAATTAGAAGTCCGAGATTGCCTTAAAGTCTGACGCTACTTCGGAACATGTTCGGGTCGTGTGACGTCATAGCACTGTCCATATAGAAAACATGAACTAGACGTTGGTCGTCAACTTTCTTCTTCATAATATTTATAGATCCGTTTATCAATTACATAAATGATATACCATTAATTTCCTTAATATTTTTTCAAAGATTATCCAAGGAAATTTCAAATAGGGGAAGTCCACAAAAACTGACAAAATCAAACGTTAGACTCTATCGACAAACGGAACGAATGTAAAACTTGGTACCGGCATTTTCCGAAGAAATTATTTAGAAGCCAAAGTTCCAAATTCCTTTGACAAACTATATCATTGTTAATGCTTCTGGTTATTCGTTTAACATCCCTTTTACTTATACATATAACTCCTCAAGCATTATGGCATCTTTATCTTTCAATTCTGTTCCTTTTTATAATTCCCTACTAAAAGATTGATACACAACAGCGCTTCGACAATGTTGTTTCACGGATATTAGTCCACGAAGGTATTATTAGTCTTGTAGTCAGACAGGCTTTATTTCAAACCTTTATGAATATATCGTCCATAAATATGAAATGATCAATGAACTAAGTTTTTAAATCCCTCAGCCAAAGTTACATTTGACATTAGATGGTTTTAGTAACTCTTTTAATACCGTTTTGGCCTTAAGAATTCATACATCGTTGTCTTCAATTTTTGATTTTAGCGTTCCTGATGGAGACCAATTCAGAACGGTGCTTCAGACTTTCCACATTATAAAGTGTTATTTTAATGTTTTAGCACTGGGTCGATAGCGTTGCTGACGGATTTTTAGTCCACGGGGATGTTTCGCTTCGAGTTTGATTTAGAACTTTTCTTAAATTTCCCATTGATGAATAAGAAATTATTTAGAAACTGACCTTCCTAAAGCACCTTGCTTAACTGACCATATATGTTCATGTTTTTCTCTTACTGTTAATGACGTATTTACACTAAATTCATTGGATGTTGGATGTGAACTGATTGATACTTTAGTTATATATTATGTTCTAGACACATGATTTTTTTTTATTAGTTGTTATTAGCTTTAAACTAGCTGTCAGTAACTAAGAGTACTCTCAGATCTGTACTTAGTGTCTTTTATGTTGTTAGGGATGAGGGATGTATATATACCCTGCCACGTCCTGTCTGTGTTTTTGTTTAATGTTTTTGTTTGTATCGATCTGATGAGTTAAGCCTTTTTCAACTGATGTTTATAGTTTGTTCTTATGTTGTGCTGTTACACTGCTGTCCCAGGTTAGGGGAGGGTTGTGCGCTCACAAACATGTTTACAGTCAAACTCACAGATCGAAAAACAAACCGACAACGCCATGGCCAAAAATAAAAAGACAAACAGACAAACAATAGTACAGATGACACAACATAGAAAACCAAAGACTAAGCAACACGAACCCCACCAAAAACTGGGGGTGATCTCAGGTGCTCCGGAATGTGGCACCCGTCGTCTTTGCATATGTTATTACAAATCCGGTAAATAGTCTAATTCGGTAGGTCACATTCGTGAAAAGGGAAGGGTATTGTAGTTACGACATAATGACACAGAAACTAACAACTAGTTTGTTCTTTTAAGACTTAATGCGTTCGTTTATATAGCTATAGCTTCGTAAGTATATTTACATCCCACGCTTTCAAATTGTGGTTTGGACAGTTCCTGAATAAATGTTATAACAAAAATAGCTTCGGACTGATGAAATTTATAAAGCAGTTGTTATTTACGACGGGCATATGAAAATGCGTTAGGATATACTAAATATTCACTTTAATCTTAATCTGTTGATTTAAAGAAGATACATTAAAAAAATCAGTTCAGAAAAATACTACAATTCCGGTATAGCAGACAACTGATACACGGATAAGAATAAAGCAATACTAAATACTTCACTACTAGATCATTTCGAGAACGAAACACTTATAGTTGCGGTTTTACGTCGGATGAGAATTCAAAAGCGCCTTACACAGTGCAGCAATATCCGATCTCCTGCAACGGTCAAAGTAATGTGTACTGAGTTTCAGATAATATAAAGTACCATTTTAGTTTATATTCAACATTTAAACAAGCGAACTCAATATTACAAGTATAAACTTATATATTTCACTGAAAACTCATTTTCGTAACTAATATTAGCTTGGAACATTGAGTGTTAACTTTATCAAATTCAATCACATAAAATAAAATTTCACCAATACATTTCTATATTTGTGATAATCTTAAGACCACTTTAAATTAAAAAAAAAATAATGAAAGTAGTAACTTCCTTAAAAATGTGATGTCAATGTGACCCATGCCGTCTAACCATCACGGAAGGAGGAATGGAGGAGATTATACCGCAATATTCTTACATTAACAGATGTAATATCAATGTGTGTTAAAAATGTACGTCAAAATAAAAGAATTTCAATTGTCAATCAAAATATTAAACATTACTGTTTTATAAATAATTTCCAATTCAAATAAATTATTTATCTTTTTGTGTACCATAGTAAATACAAGACTTACCTGTCTACTGTAAAGTATATTCTAGTAGTGATAATGGATTAATGACCATTTATTGAAATATCGTGTTTGAGGGTAAGTCCAATATCTGACTGTCTCTTATAATTCTCTCATTTTCTTTTAATAAATAATCTGTCATTTGCATAAATTCTGACTGAAGGCGTAATGGATGGTACTGGTCTTTTTATTCTTTCCTTTGTAATATCATTGATTGGATTCGATTAAAGATCTGATATCCATAGATTGCTATTAGACATCTATTAACGATAGTACAATACATCTATAAATGGAATTACCAAGGTTTCAATTTTTTCATTCATTGTTTTCTTTTAAGATAGTTAATGCGAAATGTTATAAGACAAGAACTGACTTTACCATAATGACTATGTAAGAGGATAGTTTCTAAATTTGGATATTTTTTTCATCTTTTTACTCCTTTTAGCTACTTACTGTAAATGCAATTAGACAATGTATAACAAAGAACAGAAAATAGTTATTATTAGCGATTCTGACATTGTCACTGGTAAATAGAATCGTATCACCTTTGTAATTTATTCAATTTAAGTATAAAAGAGAACAGTTCTATCTTAACGTCCTTTGAATAAGATATTACTAAACTTCACGAAACGAGTCTTCAATCAAAATGAACTATTTCTGAGACCTTTACGCAAAAGGGAAAAGTCAGTAGGTACTATAATACCACATTTAGAAAACAGCAAATGTCTTTTAAATTGTATTTGCACATTCAATAACATTCTAATTAAGGTATCAAAGTATATAGAAGAACAAAAGCTTCTCCGAAACGGTATGGGTTTTGTTGATTGTTGAAGGCCGTACGGTAACCTATAGTTACTCACATCTGCGTCATACCACGTTTTCTTATTTTTTGTATTAAAAAAGTACACAAGTACACAAGTACAAAAGTCGACTGAAAAATAAAAAACATGGCATCCATGTGATTGTTCTTCAGCTAATAGCAAATAACTAAGTTTGTTTAATGCTGGAGATTCAATTCTTGTGTCTGTGCTAAATTTTTTGTAGCTTATTTTCTAACGCAGCATTGTCGTATGGGCATTTCCGGTGAACATCACTTTTGATTCATTTGATATGTTTGAGCTTTTCATTTTGTCATTTGATAAGGGACTTTCCGTTTTGAATTTTCCTTGGAGTTCGGTATTTTTGTTATTCTACTTTTTGACAACTTTTTTTTATCGCTTAATTTATTGAAACATATTGATGCTACGATAATCCGTGTCACATATCTAAGAGTAGATTCCATGTGCTTCCACAAACAGCATTTTTGTTTTTTTTATCAGCTTTTTTCAAAATTCACGAAACCAATTTGATGACGTCATTGTATTCTCTGCAAACTTTTTATAACTATAATTAGGCACCTTTTGAAATACATTGTAACCAGTTAATTAGGATGCGTGATCATCTGTCCATGGAATTGTTTCATGAGTCTTTAAAGTTGGCATGTGTTACCTAAGGAAAAAGGTATGATAAGAGCCACTTTTTAGTCCTTGAAATTGCTCCCCCAAAAAATATTCATGACTTTCAAAATAATAATATAATAATATTTATACATGTAGTAGACTTCATTTCCAAACAGGAAACCAATGTCTACGATTCTATGCGTATTTTATTTTACTTTCACGTGGTGCTGTTTTGAGGAAATGAGTCAATGCCATAAAAATTAGACAATTCTCAGTAGTAATATTATAATATGCGCAACCATTCAAAATGCATGAATGGGATAGTTCCCAGGGTAAATGAGAAAACTTGCAGCCTTAAGAATGATTTATCTGTATAGCACTGAAGCCAAATATAAATATCAAAGCTACATTCGTATGGCATGTAGGGTAATTGCAATGTCAAAATAAAATTACATTTAAATGACCTGCAATACACAGAGGAATACCCCTGCCTTTACTTAATGAGTGAATCAATTGAAAAACTAACAGATCAACATTACTTTCCCCTTCAAGATAAAGTAATTGTCCAAAATGTCTGTGACATAATCTCGAAAAGCAAATCCAATTTAGCACTGTGTGCAATCACGGTACAAACTTTAAAGAATAGTAAAGAACAGCTGTTGAAGTTATGCATGCTCTAAACTAAGCACCCGCTCTAACATTCAAGGACGAACATTATTAAAATAATACATAAACACCAATAACAGGAATCGCGATAAATACTAGTACCGCAAAGGATAACAGACCACAATCAGCAAGTGCCAGCACCCGAATCGTTCAAATAAAACGACAAACAATAACTGGAGAATAATTGTTTTGATCTGTGTGAACCATTCGATGACAAAAGAGAATAAGGTTCCCACATTGGAAACCTAAGAAAACAATGCAAGTGTGTCCAACATAAGAGCTGGACATCTTTATTTTGTATGCAATCAATGTGGAAAGTTTGAATAATGTTGATGGAAAGCTGTTGCAGTTATGCATGACACAAACAATAATATCCTGTAAAGCATTCGAAGTTAGACAAATGGGAAGCCATAGAAAACAATTCAAATCTGTACAAAATAGAAGGTACACATCTTCAATAGGTAAATAATCACGTCAAAGATTGAATAATGTTACGATAATCTGTTGGAGTTTCACATTACACAAACAAGATAACCTCTATGTAATTCGGATGGTTGGACGCTTACTAAACCTGCTCTTATTTCTGGTGATGTATGTAAAAACAAGCGAACAAATGAACAAAGAGCAATAAATACTATCAAACAAAACGACCAAGTATAAACAATGCAAGGTTTTTTTGTAGGCAGTAATGCCGTTAATGCTGTAGCTGCATGAGTTAGGAGTCCTTATCAGGGCTGTCGAAACCCGCAAGGGTGCGAATATCATTTCCGAATTCAGATATGTAACTATGCCAGTGTTTGTTAAATATGTACAGGTCAATTTTGAGATATCTTGTAAAGTTTACCCTGTCTCGCTTCGTTTTAGAGTTCATGCGATTCCCTCAGTTTGTTTGTGTTACCGTGATTTGTCTTCTTAATCGATCCATGAAATGTGTCCATCGGTAAACTACTGTAACCTTAAATTGTCACATATTAAAACGTCTCTCTACAATTCATCTTTTGACGTGACTGAATTATAAAGTTCCGTGGGGTCATTAACAATATATATATATATATATATATATATATATATAGCTTTATTATTGTGAAGCCTAGGTGGTCGGGTGGTCTAGCGCGTCAGATACAGTGCAGGCGAATTGGTGTCACGATATCTCAGTAGCATGAGTTCGAATCCCGGCGAGGGAAGAACTGAAAATTTGCGAAAGCAAATTTACAGATCTAACATTGTTGGGCTGATGTTTAAACGAGTTGTATATATATAACTCTAAATTGAAAACAACGTTCAAACCTATGATTGCGTTGGATAAAAAACGCAATTTTTATACGTGTGCATGCAAAACAAATTTCTTGGTAGAGGGGTCTAAATACAGCACAAACAACATTTTCCAAAAGACCAAAATGAGTAAAAAAGTATATTTTAACAAAACGCATTTGACTAGCAGGTCGAACAACTGATGTTCTTAAACACTGCTGACTGTCATTGGCGATTGCCAAATAAACAGATCAGATTGCCAAATAAACAGATCAGAAGATGTAACAAAACAGATCTTATTATTAATTTATTCCAAAACAGAAAACAATAAACTTGCGGAAAAGATGGTATACCGCAAACATGAAGTGCAAACATTTGTACACCATATCCGGATTTCGACAATTAATGTCTCTTCAGTGATGTTAGGAATCGAAACGGTATTTGGAAGGCCATATAATTTACCTCAATTTAGGATAGACTCTTGAATTTTGAAAGAGTTAAAATAGGATGAACGGATCATGTAAATCCGAAGGCAAATATAATACAAGCCCAAACGAAAAAATATAAACAAGTCTAAATTGAAAACAACGTTCAAACCTATGATTGCGTTGGATAAAAACCGCAATTTTTATACGTGTGCATGCAAAACAAATTTCTTTGGTAGAGGGGTCTAAATACAGCACAAACAACATTTTCAAAAAGACCAAATGAGTGAAAAAGTATATTTTAACAAACGCATTTGACTAGCAGGTCGAACAACTGATGGTCTTAAACCCTGTTGACTGCCATTGGCGATTGCCAAATAAACGGATCACAAAATGTAACAAAACAGATCTTATTATTAAATTATTACCAAACAGAAAACAATAAACCTGCGGAAAAATGGTATACCGCAAACATGTGGTGCAAACATTTGTACACCATATCCGGATTTCGACAATTAATGTCTCTTCAGTGATGTTAGGAATCGAAACGGTATTTGGAAGGCCATATAATTTACCTCAATATATATATGAGACAATATTTGAAAAAGTATAATTTTTGGCTATAGGAAAAACAACAAAAAATGTCTTTAGAACCGGTATTTTAATAGCACAAATCGAAGAACACACATTGAGGATCTAGGAACTGTTGTCTGTAATTCAAACAATTGTTAAATGTGGTAACAATGGCAATTTTAAAAACGGTACAAAAAATTCTAGTTCTTTCCTGTTACCAAAGTGAATTAATTTTAAAAAGTTTCTAATGGGAATAAGGAATAAGTTTAAGATACTATTTGTGGTTTACTAGTATATCCTGCAATAGTTTATCAAATGCCAATTATTTATTTTAGCATTTGCAATACAAAAGGTTAAGAAATATACTAAAATATAGTCCGATATGTCGGTAACATGAAAGAATCTTCAGTAACAGGACAAGTAACAGGACAGAGTTGGTAACAGGAAGGAATTTTTTTTCAAAGCAATTGCTTTATTTCATAGTTTAAGAAAAATACATCATTTCAGATTGGTCACAGTATCAGGTAACAGGTACAGGACAGAACGTAACAGAAAGGAATTACACAGTACTTTTTGTCCTTTTATTCGAATTGTGTAGAAGTTTACTTCCATCTACATATCAATTTAATTAGATACTATAAAAACACATTTACTGTTATAGTGCTGACAATGAAATATTCTCAGACGGTACACAAAAAGGCTGTAACAGGAGAGAACAACAAAATTATTTTTTTTGGTGTGTTCGGATTTTTCAAACTGGCTGCCATTCACCTATACATATGGAGTCATACATTCAGGAAATGATACTCTTCTCATTGCATTACAAGAAATAAAATCTAGGTCTTTCAAACGTTTCCACAGGTGAAAAA